TCCTCTGTGGGCCTCATCACTCACATGGCTGACTCATCTGTTAAGTATAAAGACACATCTGAAGTCAAGCCTGGAGGCACACTTCTGAAATCCCAGGAAGCGAAGGATCAGTTCAAGGTCATTCTTAGCTATGTAGAAAACTCATGGCTATCCTGTGCTACATGAGACTCTCTGAGTTATCTCAGAGGATAACTCTCAGCCAGGCACAGTGGTACATGCCTGTAGTCCTAACACAGGTGGTTATGGCAGGAGGACGATGGCTTGAGCCCAGAAGTTGAAGACCAGCCTGGGCATCACAGTGAGACTGTTTCAGAAAGAGGAAAGGAAAGAAGAAGCCACTGAGCACTGTGCTCTTCCCGACCAGGCCTTTGTCTCATTGGCTGTCTCAAAAGAAAGTTGTTACATGAGAAAGCAGAGAGGCCCAGGATCCCTCTCCATCGTTGACCCTCACATGGACAAAGCACAGCTGAGGGATAACGACCAGCACTGCAGTGGTGTCGAAACCCTCTGGGTGAAGACAAGCTCTACTGTGGACTAAAGGACACTGAAGCCTCCAGCCAAGGTGACGGAGTTTGGTGACAGCATCTGCCTCCCTGGCCTCAGTATTTGTTCCAACCCCTGTTTAGCTACTTCCACCATACCTTTTAACTGCCAAGGCATGAACTTGGGCAGTTGCCCTAAGCCTCTGTTTCTCACTGTATAACAGGGATGGGTATCCGCTCTAGGCTGCTGTATGCAGTAAAGAATGCAGCCGGTAGAGTGGCTGGGATTTGGCCTCTGTTGACAGCAGCTGCATTGGAGCTAGGTGTTTCCAGCCTGGTTCTCCAGCGATCTTAAAAAGTGTTTCTTAATCCATTACCCACTATGCTCAATGTTTCACAGAATTTGGGGTGTGTGTGTGTGTGTGTGTGTGTGTGTGTGTGTGTGTGTTCTGGGTTACAACAGGAAGATGTTTCCTACCACAGGCTGATAGAGAGCCAGTGTCATCTGGCTAGCTCACCTGCAGGCACTGGGGTCTCTGGGGGCTCAGCCAAGCCTGAGCAAGTTCTGAGCTTGGGTCTCTACTTCCTTGGAAGCCTTAAGCCTCATGTATTCATGTTGACATGCTGGTAAATTTGTTCACAGATTACAGCTTTCAGGTCTTCCAAGCCACACCTGCACAGGGACTGCAGTGAAAGCCATTGCCTGCTGACTGAGCCACACAAAACTCCCAGAAAAAGAAATCCTTGGGCACTTTGTGACATGGTCTCCGTGTAGCCCAGCTGGCCTGGAACTCTCTCATAGAGCAGGCTGGCCTTGATCTCACAGATCCATCTGCCTCTGCCTCCCAAGTGCTGGGATTAAAGGTGTGTGCCACCATGCCCAGCTGCTTGGGCACTTTTTTTTTTCTTCAATAGAAGGAAGGATTTATTTTTGGCCTGCAGTTCAAAGATACAGTCCATCATGGTGGGGAAGCCAGGCGGCATGAGCTTGAAGCTGGCCACATTGTATCCACAGGAAGGAGAGCAATGCCTGCTCATGCTCAGCTAGAGTCCTGGTTTGTTTTTTTTTTAATTTTTACAAAAACTTTATTGAGAATTTCATACATGCCTATAAGGTGTTTTGATCAAATCCATGCCCACTCCCTCCCCTCCAACATTTCCCCCTCTGAAGCGGTAACTCTAAAATCTTTTAAGGATTAGATACAAGCTCCCAAATACTTTTGACATTTTTGGCCTTTGGAATACAGTATGTTGCTAACAGGTGCTTGGGCACTTTTTATGCATCAGATTTATTTAGAATATTTTCTTTCCAGACCCTAAGCTGACACTCTGAACATCTGTCCACTTAGTTGCTAAGAAACTTGAGCAAACAGGCTAGGTTCTGTCTGGAATTCTATGAGCTTATGGTATGGTATGACTTCTGGGAAACGGGCACACAGCTGAAAAACAGCAATCTTGGGCTTGATGTCTCCTGTCCCCCTGTCTCTGCACCTCTCCTCTGACTGAGATCTGGATTGGCAGGGTAAGGCTTTGCCAAAGAAGGCCCAGAAAAAAAAACAAACAAAAAAAAAAAACAGCTGTTATAGTCCTGTTCCTTCATGACCAGCCAGCGAAACCTGGACCTCTATCTCAGCCTACCTGAACCTTTGCCAAGTGTCAGTATTGATACCCTCCTCCTAGTGGGGGTGGGAGTGGTGGGGTGGGGTGAGGACCTGTGATCTGGCGTTGGACAAGTTCAAGGCAACATTGGTACAGCCAGTCTGCTTTAACCAGTGTCCCTGGAGCTTGGTCAGGCACTTGGCAATGCCCCAGCCCTTCTTCAACAGACAGCAGGTGATCACCAGGCAGAGTACACAGGGGCTGCTAAAGCAAGCTGCCTACCCCTGTCATGGCTGCTGCCTGACCAGGGGGCAGCATGTCCTCTGCACATGACCTGCAGGGACAGCCAAGACTCAGATTCACACAGTCTACTGAAATTGCCTGCTTTCGTTCTAATGGTAAAGTTAATGCCTGCCCAGTAGTGAAAGCATGAAATGTGGAAAAGAAGTTTTATATATCACCCAAAACCCCAGCAGCAAGGTAGCAGCCCCACTGGGAAATCCTGCCCACGCTACTCCCATGATGCCACACAGGCCACTGGATGGTCCAGTCATGTAAAATCGCCAACACCATTCCACACTGCCAAAGTCTGTTCTGATTTATAGAATTGGTTACTCTGCATTATTTCATGTTCCGGCTATTTTCATTACAATTCAGTGTTCAAGTTTGTAGGGCAAAGTCTGTCTTGAATTTTTTTGTTTAGTTTTCATTGTGAAATAATTTCAAACTTAAAAAACCAGGAGTTGGGCCAGGCATGGTGGCACATGCCTTTAATCCCAGCACTTGGGAGGCAGAGGCAGGCGGATTTCTGTGAGTTCGAGGCCAGCCTGGTCTACATATATCACAGTGAAAGATTTATCGTCCTCTTTTTTTTTTTCAAAAAAAAAAAAAAAAAAAAAAAAAAAAAAAAAAAAAAAAAACCAGGAGTATCTTCCTTATACCATTCAGTCAATCTTACCAAAGATAAACACCTTTACAACCATAATAAATAAATCCCCCTAAGAAAATAATAATGATTTAAAAAAAAAAAAAAACTTAAAGTCTGCTTGGGTGCACACACCTGTAGTCCTAACTACTGAGGAGGCTGAGGGAGGACGATTGCTTGAGTGTAGGAGTTTGAGGGCAGCTCGTACTATGTGACATAACAAATCCCACTTTTTCTTTAAAAACAGAATACTTGGTGATTTCCTGATGCAATCCACTAGCCACCATAGGAGCTCTGTTCTTCCACTGGCTCCCTTACTATCGTTTCCTGTTCAGGGCTCCTCATTCTGTTGTGAGTGTATCCCTTTAGTTACTCCTATTTTTGACAGTCCCTCAGCCTTAATTTTTCATAACCTAGACTTCTTTGTGTTGAGGTTAAATTCATAGATTGTAATATTGTTTTTAAAGTATCTAGTTCTGTGCCATTTAGTATATTTAATATGCAGCTATCATTTATCTTGTTCCCAGATAGTTCTTTCACAGACTCTGACCCTGGTGGGAACTGTGCATGGGAATTCTGTCAGACACTTTCTTGTTTTGGATCAAGGCTGTGGTTTTTTTGGCAGGAGTGCCCCTGGAATGCTACATCCTGAACCCTGGTTGAAGGCATGTGATTCTGATACTGGTCCATTTCAGCACTGGCAGTGCTGTCTTTGCTCATTGTGTTAAGTCGATACCTGCAATGTTTCCCTGCTGTAAAGTTACTCTTATCTCCTTTGGTAACTGATGGTCTGGTATAAAGAGATAAGTTGAGATCAGATTATTTATATTTTGTATTTATTATTTTGTATAAATGTATTGCCTGCATGTATGTAATTGCACCCATGTTGTGCAATGCCTGCAGAGGTCAGAAGAGGGCATCAGATTCCCCTGGAACTGGAGTTATGGACAGTTGTTAGCCACATGTGGGTGCTGAGAATCAAACCCACATCCTCTGCAAGAACAGCCGCTGTGTGCTCTTAACCACTGAGCCATCTCTCCAGCCCCAAGATCAGATTATTTAACTTACAGCCTTTTCAAGTCAAGAAACTTAAATCTCTAAATGGTGTAGGAAGATGCTGGAGGATTGGTAAACAGTCAGATCACACCCAATTGCCTGTTTCTCTTTGTGTATGACAGAAAGTATATGCCAGTTATGCAAGAAACTTGTGGGGAAGAGAAAATGTAGAACTAGGAGCACAGAGGTCCTCTGAGGGGAGGGTCTTGAGTCATGTGAATGAGCACATCTAAATCTGGCAAATTCAACTTGAGTTTGGTTTCCAGAAGAGATGGAGAAAGAGAAGCCATGCTGGGGGAAGACGGGGAATCAGAGCCTCTGTAAGGGAGTTAGGGGCCTGGAGACCTGGTCTGGCTGTACCTTTAATTCTTTTGGGCTTTTCCCCACCCACCACCCTCTTTCTGAGGCCTGATGGCTGAGTCACAGCCAACACCCAGAGCAGGTGAGTGTTCAGCTTGGGAGAGGCCCTAGGGAGTGTCCAATGCATGAGCAGGCCTGACCAGTCCCTACACCCCACAATGGCCTGTGTACCGCCTGGGACCTGCTGCATGTGGCACCAGCTGCTTCCCCTCCATGTTTGTGTCCTGTGCTCTATCCTCACCCCTCAGCCTTCCTCATGTTAAGCTTGCTGTTCCTACCATAAACAAGGAACCTTTGTTAGTGGTTTCATGAAGTGGGTGGTCCAGCTTATGCCTGGAAGAGCCAAAATATCCTTGGCCACTGGGTATCTGGTCCCTTCCCAGTAGTAGGCCACTTCATATGGAGGAAGGGATGGGGGCTGGAGGATGACAAACCATTCTAGTGCCCCACACTATGCCCCTGCACCCCTAGGGTTTGCAGGGTGGCCTGGTGCCCCCCCGCCCCCGCTATACCAAGGTGCAGGGGGTGTGAATGCAGCACAGGCCACACCACATTGACTCTGCCCCATTCTCCTTCAGGGCATTGAGCGCCTCCAGCGAAAGAAACATCCCAGGGAGCACTCACACAGCTGGAAGTCATTCCAGGAGGCATTTGGTGGGGACTTTTCCCTGAACTGGTTCAACCCTTTCACCCGACCTTGTCAACCAGAGACACCCATTGACAAGGGCTTGGTGAGGCAGGTGTCAACTGTGTCAGACGTGGACAACATGGAAACAATTCAGAGCCAATTGGAAGAGATCAAAAATGAGGACTCGGTGGAAGTGCTGGATGAATAGAGGCTATGGGACAGCCAGACACCAACAGTGACCACCGGCCTTCATCCTAGGGTTTGGTGAACTCTCCTCAGCTCCCTGGTGCTTCCCCAGGCTACTGCCTTGATGTTGCCATCTCTGTCACTCCTCCCTCTCTCCAGTTGGGTCACTGGTAATGGAGGTGACTGCAGAGGAGAATGGGGACTTTCTCTGAGTTCACCTAAGCAGAGTCTGCCAAGAGGGATGGTCAGGACCCATTCTTCAGGGCCATGGAGGCTGCCTAGCCTCTGCCTAGCAAGACACATGGTGACCAGGGTGTCCCAGGAGAAAGAAAGCTATTTCTGCTTCCTGTGTGTTGTCTTACAGGGCCCTGGAGAGGGACACTGACATCAGGGAAGACCAACATGGAAGGCTATTGATGATGCAACTCCAGCCATTCCATAGAGAAGGGCTTCCTTAATGGACTGCCCGCAGGAATCAGAACAGAGGTGGGACTTCAGGGATTGGGCTTGGTTAAGAGGACCCTACACACCTGTATGGACACAACACACCTGCATGGACACGCACACATGCAGAACCTGTGCAGGCTGGAAGTGAGCCCTAGTTATTACAGTAACACCAAAAATTAATTCTCATCACATGGACACTAGACTCTTCTCTGAGACAGCATAGAGCTGAACTGTCTGTGGCCACAGGACAACTAGGGAAGACCTATGTTGAACTCCTGGAGTCTCTCCAGCCTCTTCCGTAAGAACTTCAGCTAGCGAGTCCAGTAACATGGGGACAGAAGCAACCAGAAATGTCACCTGCGTGTTCTAGAGCAGCTCCCAAGATAGTACCTCTCGCCTCTGAGAACTGGGTGACAGCCAGGGTCTGCAGACTGACAAGCCAAGAAGATACCCAGACACTACTGTCCCAGGATGAGCATGGGTTGTCTGGTCATTGCCAGTAGTCTGGGCATCTCCTGTGCTCCCCGGTGGTCACAGGAGAAGCAGCAGCTCTGTAGTCTAACCAGTCAGATAGTCTCAAGGAGCATAGTCATCTCCCCCTCAGGCCTCCTGGATCCATTTCCCCAGTATCGCTGGCACCCATCGTGGCAGAGGACTCAGATATGGCAGAACCTTCTTAAGCAGGTCTTTGTGTCACAGCCCCTCCCAGCTCTAGGTGAAAGGTCTTGAGTCCTGGGCCAAAGGAACCTGTGGTCCTGATGACATGATGAAGTATTGGTATTTGAGATACTGCCTGTCTCCAGATGCTGAGAAGGGAAAGCTGTGGAGAGCCAAGTGGTGGCCTCATTCTTGGGCAGCATCCTAAGAGTCCCTGCAGGGTAGATCTCTGTCAGAGAGCTCCTCTGCAGAAGCCCCATGCAGGTGGCAGCTGCACTAACAGAAAGATGCAGCCTGCTCCACCTGCTGCATGTGCACTTCCTCTGTACAGCCTTCTATAACATTTACTAGTGCCACCTTGAGGATCCCAAGTTGGGCCTAAAGTTGGCAGAGCCACCTGTCATGTGGCTGCAGGGGCCCTACCTCTGAGCAGACCTGGATGACCGGTGTGCTAGGTCATATACCAGACACTCCATGCCAGAGAAAAGCAGGGCTGCTGCAAGCTTCACCAGAAAACAGGTAGTTCCCAGCCCACAGCCAATGGTTTCCGAAGTGTTTTCTAGGAAGGTTGAGGTAGGCAGGCATTTTGCCTCCACAAGCTCAGACCTATCCCTTCTTCCTCACCACCTCCACCACCATGCTAGACCTCAGCCACATCTGTCTTTACTATGGGAGGTACTGGATAGTCAGAATCATGTTTGTAGTAGCCTTTCCAGCCCTGGGCCTGCACACCAGTGCACAGTGACCTCTCCACAGTGACTCCTGACATGTTCTGTCAGCTTCAGACTAACAACACTGCAACTGGTAAAACAGGACCCAGTGTTCCAGGGAGGGATCTGGGTATATAACTGCCTCTTGCTTTGAATAAAAGCTCTTTGCTCTACCTCTGTGACTGGAGTCTGCTGTTCAGCAGGATGTTTCAGCCCAAACCCTTGGGCAGCACCCTTCCTCTCAGGTCCAGTGTGCCAAACCAGCAGGCATCACGCAGACACCAACAGCAGCTGCATCGCATTGCTAACAGAGCCCCTCTTGGTCCCAGCACAGGGAAAAGTCATCTTTCATCCCACAGGTAGGTACTGGACACCTCCTAGATGCCAGGGAGGTGGGCAAGAGTGGTCAGGACTGAGGTTTTCTAGCTTTTCCCAGAAGGGAAAAGATGACAAGTATATCGCCCCAGAATGCCCTTCAAATACACAAAGTAACCTTTGCGAGAATACATGTCCACTTAGAGTTACAGCCCTTGAGAGAGGCTGGCTGTCATGGGCAGGGCTCCGACCAAGGAGGCCAACTCCTTGGAGCACGTCTGTGGATCTGAGGAGTTCAGAGGACGTGACTCCCCATTTTACAGCCAGCACAGGCTACTTTAAGCAGCATGTTAATGTAAAAGAAAAACTGAATGAGGACCACGTAGCCATCTTGAGTCTACAGTTTATTCAAAACATAGTGATCATCTGAGCAGATCTCTAGAGGGCAGAACAAACATGGCTCCAGCGAGCAGTGCAGAGTGAGCTGCTTTCCTGGGTGCTGTACTTCAACCATGGACCCCTATTCACAGGAGGGGGATGCAGGTTGTAGGGTCTCTCTCCCATGGCCCACCCAGAGACAGGAGGGCCTCACGCCAGCATGGGGCCTGCTTCTGAGAGGGCAGAGCCTTGGGATGAGAGCATGTGGTGCCTGTCGCAGCTGCAGTGTGCTTTCTTAGAGGCCTGCCAGCTCAGCCTTTAGGTACCCCCTGCACCTGACAGAACCACAGTCCAGTTGGAAGGTACCTGCAGCACTGGTGAGTCCATGGCCTGAAGAAATGTCCACTTCCAGTACCACTGTTAGCAGCTCTGGGCTTCATACTTGCTCTAGTTGATGGATCTATGGCTTTGCATGGATATGGTTCTGAGCCCATGCCTCCAAAGTATGTGTTTGTGAAAGGTGCCTGCCTAGGCTGTGTGCTTCAAGCTGGAAAGGCATGCCCTGGCCTCATGGGACTGCAGCTTGTGCTCTTCACTGGCCTTGGAGTGCTCTGTTGTTGGGCAGGCTCTCAAATCCACCCTCACATGAGTAATCAAATCTAATCATCCTTGACCTGAAAGCTACATGCAATTTAGGAAGTGCTAAAATGCGGAGTTAGCCAAGGCTCAGAGCCAATCAGGGCCCCTACCTCCATCTTCACAGCATCAGACAGGCTAATCAGTGATGAGAACCATCTTCTCAACGTGGACCTCTTTCACTTCTCTGGAAGTAAACCTGACAATGATTTTCCTAGGTCCAGTCCTCATTGGGATGCATCTCATTTCGAACTGGAGGGACTGTCCAGGTGGCAGTGTTCTAGAAAATTCAAAGACACATAGATGTCAGCCAAAGATGTGATGGGAAAATGCACATGTAAGGAAGGACCCAGGCAACCTGTTCCTGGTGCAGTAACTCAGTAGAGCTCTGGGCTCCAGAACAGCTCAGTGGGCCTCCACCCAAGGATGGCCACTTGCCTCAACTGCAAGGTAATAGCTGAACCAGCTGGTTTCCAGCTGCCTGTCCAGCAGTACCATTTCACAGACCCTCCTGGGGTCTTAGGAACATATTTCATGGTAAATCTAACCCTGGCCACTCAATACATCACCTGAGGGAGTGTTAGAAATGGACTCGGGCTCCATCCCAGTTCTGCTGAGTCAGAATCTGTTCTCTAACAATGTTTCCAGATAAACTGTGTCTGTGAAAGTTTAAGAAACCCTGGTCTGGGGGAAACAGGAGTCTGCTGGAGTTTCTGGGAAGATCTAGACATCTGATAAGAAATAGACCATTGGGGCTGGAGAGATGGCTCAGTGGTTAAGAACACTGGTCGTTCTTGCAGAAGACCGGGGTTCAAATCCCAGCATCCACATGGCAGCTAACAACAGTCTGTAACTCCAGTTCCAGGGGATCTGACAGCCTCTTCTGTCCTCAAGGGCATTGCATGACACAGGTGCACTTACCTACATGTAGGCAATATACTCATACACATAAAATGAAAAAATAATAATAAATAAAATATTTTTTAAAAAAGAAATAGGCCATTAGGATCAAAGCATTAGAGTTCCAAGGTCCTTTACTGGATGTCAGGATATCAAAATCAGTAACACCTGTCTATTCCAACAAACAGAACAATACAAAACACCCCATGCATGATGGCAGCAAAGGTTGTAATGTGCATGCTCTGACTGGGAACATGCAATCACATACCAAGAAGACACATGAATAAATGGAAAAATATCCTACATCCCTACAAGAAGAGGCCTAGATTATCATTTGGCACATGTAGTTCCAGTCTAAATCTCAAAAAGAAATGTCAAGATGATTCTAGAAGTTCTATTTGTGAGAAGCTGTGCCTCCTGTACTGCACAAATTCTGTCATTTAAATGGCACATGAGTGCCTTAGAGGACACGTGAGGTAGCCAGTTAGTGGCAGATCTGGGGAGTACCTATTAAAAAGGGTACTTCAGAGTATTAAAGAAGTTACAGGTTGGGTTTTGTTGTTTGTATTGTTTTGTTTGAGGTCTTTAAAAATATTTTATTTGGGAGACAGAGGCAGGCAGATCTCTGTGAGTTTGAGACCAGCCTGGTCTTCATAGTGAGTTCCAGGCCAATGGGCTACAGGGAGACCCTGTCTCAAAAAGACAAAAAAAATTTATTTTTTTGTTCTATGTGCATGTGTGTATTGCCTGCATGTGTGTAAATGCACCCATGTTGTACAATGCCCATGGAGGTCAGAAGAGGGCATCCAATCCCCTGAAACTGGAGTTACAGATGGTCGTTAGCTGCCAAGTGGGTGCTGGGAACAACCTGGGTTCTCTGCAAGACGAGCCAGTGTTCTTAACCACTGAGCCATCTCTCCAGCCCCTTGGGGTTTTTTGTTCGTTTGTTTGTTTTTGTCTTTTTTGAGACAGGGTCTCCCTAGAGCTCCAACTGGCCTGGAACTTGCTATGTAAACCAGGCTGGTCTTGAGCTCACAGAGATCCACCTGCCTCTGCCTCCCAAGTTTTGGGATTAAAGGCATGCGCCACCAGGCCCGGCACCCTTGGTTGTTTTTAAAGACAGGGTCTCTTATTCTATAGCATGACAGACTGTTTGACAAAGCTAGGGCTCTACATTAATCTACCCCAAAATTAAAATTCACAGTAATGCCTAATTATGTAAATAAATCTAGAAGTTGTAGGCGAAATGTAGACTATTTCCATATTCTTGGAATGACATGAAACTCAATATCCACAAAGGAAAAGATTAAAATTTTAATGTAACCAAAATTTTCAAAGTTCCAATGGTAGCAGACAACTTAGGGTTTTAAGACAACCTGGGGCTGGGGGTACAACTTGGAGGGGAACACTTTTCCAGCATGCACAAGACCCTGGGCTCAACCCCCAGTATAGTGGCCTAAAGAAATGAACTGCTCATTAGGGGGGAAAAAAACAAAGGACATGAACAGACAATTCAAGGAGATAATTAACAAGAAAGTCTGAATTCAAATAGAGCTGAGAATTAAGACAATGAGAGGCTTAACCATCAGACTGACAAGAAGCAAAAAACTCTGCTAGTAGAGTAGCTGGCGCAGTCGTCTCTGGAAGCAGTTTGGCACCAGCAATGTGTATGTGCATTTTTACTGTAACCCAGACTGGGAGTCCACATCGCAGAAGTGTTTTCCTAGGTGCAAGACATGTGCAGACAGTCTGTGTTGCTAGAACAGCCCAGGCAGACTCACCCTTGGTCCAGGGACTCTGTGGTAACGATGCCCAGGCTTTCTACTGAGAACCTCATGTTAGTCAAAGGGATGGGCAGGGTGTTCTTGAGTTTGCAGATGAGGAGGAGTTCCTGGTGGACTTTGCCTGTGCTCGGCATCTAGTAGAGTGGGGAGTGGAGAGAAGGCAGGCATGACAAGCTGAAGCTGAGTAGAGCCTAGGTGGTGGCTTACAAGACACGATTTTGGCTCATGTCTTTGAACTCGGCATGTTAGCAGGCCTCTCAGGAGCACTAGTGGAGAACCTGTTCCAACTGTGCCTCTCTCTTAGAATCTGTTTGCACAAACTCACTTCTCAAGCTTTGCCAGACATAGTTTTTAGGGAATTCAGGGTGCATAATCCCGTGCCAGCCAGAGGTCCTAGCCTGACCTACATCCCAGCCTTGTTTAGTTTATCGGAATCACTTTTGCCAAAATGACTATCTTTGGGAAGTCCTGGAAACAGAGCTTGAGGGCTGAATACTTATAAGAGCCTACGTGTGCCAACCATAGTTCCTGCCCAACACACCAGGGCTCCATGCTGGACTCTGGACATTGGTCCCAACTCACCAACAACCCAAAATGCCAAGTTGCCTCACAGAACAGCCCAGAGAAACACACCCAAAGCCAGGCTGCGTTTCTCCATCCATAGCCAGAGTATTTAAGACTCACACCCTCTTCCCACTCCCCAACCTGGTCCTGGCTGTGTCTTCTTCCTCAGATCCCCTTCCCTGCCCAGGGCAACTCAGGCTTGCCTTATTCCATGCATGTTTCAGGCTTGATCTCATTCTGAAATTCTCCTTCAAATACCCAAAGTTCCTGAAACAGTGGCCATGCTTCACACTCACCACCTCATCTCCATCCAACCACAGTACAGACTCATAACTAAATCTTTTAATTCCTGAAGTACAGTTAGTATAGTAAGGAAGGGGTGGCCTGAGAAAGCTGGAGTGCCCACTCTCAAGGCAACTGAAACACCATTCAAACATGCCTGGCATCAGGGATGTGTATTCTCTGAGCTGTAGATGTCTATCAAGTCCCTTGGGGGTGGAGTGACAGTGAGACCCTCAAGAGAAACTGTGCTTTAAGCCATGGCAGATGCACCAAATTTGCCTTCCAAGGAGAGTGGTCCTGTGAGGTGTAAGAATCTGCTTCACTAAGTGGAGGCCTGGCCAGTGCCCTACCATGGCTATGGAAGGGACAGCCCCTTGGGTGGCACACTTGCTGAGGTACAGACACTGGAGGACAAGTCCTCAGACAGGCCAGGGCTCATTAATAAAGGGCTTTATGATAACGGCCCTTGGTAGGTCACCAGAGTACAATGGCATTCTCATGAACAAGCTGCCATGGACTCCCACTAGGCAGGCAGTGTAGACCAGTCTGGCACTGGTTTTACCCCACCCAACACTGGGGTGGGTTCCAGTCACCTGAGCACCCACGGCAAGCCTTGCTCTTTAATGGCTTCTATCCTAAACTTCTAAATGACCACATAAACTGGTGGCATGGATCTGGGAGAAGAAACTTAGAATCTGGGAAGGACGGGAGAGAAACTTCATTTCTCCAGTCATATATTTAGAACTTTGTACTGTGAGCTTGTATTACTCGTTGTTTGTTTTGATACAGGATCTCCCTGTAGCCCCAGCTGGCCTGGATCTCACAGATCTGCCTGCCTCTGCCTCCCGAATGCTGGGACTAAAGGTGTGCACCACCATGCCTCGTGGTATTATTCATTAAAAATGTTTTTCAGGGCCGGGCATGATGGTGCACGTCTTTAATTAGAGCACTTGGGAGACAGAGGCAGGCAGATCTCCGTGAGTTCGAGGCCAGACTGGTGTACATACTGAGTTCTGGGCCAGCTGGGGCTACAGGGAGACCCCGTCTCAAAAAGACAAAAAACAAAACAAAACAAAACAAAAAAAAAGCTGGGCGTGAGGGTGCACACCCTTAATCCCAGCACTTGGGAGGCAGAAGCAGGCAGATTTCTGTGAGTTCAAGGCCAGCCTGGTCTACATAGTGAGTTCCAGGACAGCTGGGGCTACAGAGAGACCCTGTCTCAAAAAGACCAAAAAAAAAAAAAGTTTTTAAGCCAGGTGTGGTGGCTCACACTTTTAGTCCCAGCACTCCAGAGGCAGGGCCAGGCGAATCTCTGTGAGTTCAAGGCTAGCCTGGTCTATATAGCGAGCTCCAGGCCAGCTGAGACTACAGGGAGACCTTGTCTCAAACAGACCAAAAAACCAAACAAACAAAAAATGTTTTTAAAAATTCAAATCCAGTTAGCCAAACCTTTAAAAAAAGAAAAACTGCTTGATTCTTCACTTATCACAAACACCCATTTGGAAAAACCACGTGCCATATGGCCTGAAGATCAGCCAATCAGACCACAGAGGCCCTGAGCTCTGCGCCTCTCCAGGTTCTAGAGAGGAGCCCTTTTTGGCCTGAAGCCAGCTCACCTCTATATGAAAACCCTGGTACAGGAAACACAGGGTCACTTCAGTGGCCACTCTCTCTCTGGATCCTGCAATTTCTGTAATGATGAATCCTTTGATGACCAGCTCGTCATCAACCATGCCCAAGTTATGAATGTAGGAGTTGGTATCCATGGTGAGAGTCACCTGTGATTCTGCAAAAGTGGGGGGGGGGCAGAGGTAAATGCTCCAATGGCACAGAATAGAATATTAGCACTGAGGTGAAACTGCTTGGCCCTAAGGGAGTCCTTCTGTCTTAGAAGGGCCAGTATGTGTGGTACAGATGGATTTGTGATTAGCTGAGCTCTCCCGGTCCATCCTGAGCCCTTATTGTCAGAGTGGTCCACTCATATGAGGGCACCCATAGCCCACTGAAAGAGTAGGCATTCTAAACAAAGTCTTGATGTAGTGTCTTTTTTTAAAAAAAAAACTTTATTCTTTTTTCTTTTTAATTTTATGTGTATGCATGTATTGCCTGCATGTAGGGAAGTGTACCCGTGTTGTGCAATGCCCAAGGAGGTCAGAAGACGCTGTCGGTTCCCCTGGGACTGGAGTTATGGACAGTTGTTAGCTGCCATGTGGGTGCTAGGATTCGAACCCGGGTCTAATGCAAGAACAATCAGTGTTATTAGCTGCTGAGCCATCTCTCCAGCACCATGTAGTGTCTTTTCATAATACTGTCAGCACCCTTAATTTTTTTTTTTTTTTGGTCTTTTTGAGAGTGTCTCCCTGTAGCCCCAGGTGACCTGGAACTCACTATGTAGTCCATGCTGGCCTTGAATTCACAGAGCTCTGACTGCCTCTGCCTCTCGAGTGCTGGGATTAAAAGCATCCGGCTTTTAGCACTCTTAAATTTTGACTGTGTTGGATCCCAGGCTTCTGTCCTGCTAATCTATTTGGACCATTTTCCCTTGTGCTTGGATTCCTTGTCACCACCAAAACATAAGTGCTTGATAAATGCTGTGTTTATCTACACACAAAAGTTAGCATGTAGAAGTAGTCCGCAGAGGAGAAAGGGATGGCAGGTGGCAGGGGGAACCACCCCTAGTCTGGTACCTTGATTTGTGATCTTCTGAGACTTCCGGATGATACCCAGGCCTTTCTTCTTCTTGCCTGTGTACGTCTGTAGGTTGAGATAGCATGAGATGTTGACAGTCTGTGGAGTGGCCGTTTTCCTTTCCAAAACTAGTGTCAAAATGATAGGATGTCCTATCTCCACTGAGCACTCAATGACAGACACCCGAAGGGAGCTGTCTGTTGAAGGAGAGCCGGGCTGATCCTCACCAGGATGGAGGCGACCAGAGGCCCTTTCCATGGCCTTCCTTTCCTCCGGTGAGCCTAGAGAGAAAGAACACTTCCAGAGAACACTCCTCCAAGGACCAGAAGCCCCAGCACACCCTGGGGCAGAAAGGGGCATGCCCACTGACTAGGACTCCAGAGGCTTCCCAGAAGCTATAGATTCACACAGAAGCATCAAGGCTCTGTGCTGGGACTTGTCATAAGTGGGAGTGGCAGAGGAAAGCCCCCCCAAACCCCTGTTCCTCCTCAGAAGTAGTGGGAACAATGGTCAAAGCCATCCCCTCAACTTGCCCAGGACTCTGGAAATTAACCCACTGAACCTGACATGGTGGCTCATGCTTGTAATCCCAGCACTTGGGAGACTGAGCAGGACAAGTGCCCTGAGTTTGAGGTCATTCTGGGCTACATGAGTTTCAAGCCAGTTAGAATGAGATCCTATCTCAAAAGACAGGAAGAAGAGGAGGAGATGGAAGAGGAGAAGGAGCAGGAAGAGGAGCAGGAAGAAGAGGAGGAAGAGGAACAGGAAGAGAAGGAGGACAGGAGGAGGAGGAGGAGGATGGGAAGAGGACAGGAGTAGAGGAGAAGGAATAGTAAGACTGAAATGGCAAAACTGACTCCATTTTGCTCCAGCTGACTTGCTTTACCCTCTGTTTTTGCCCAGCCACTCCCACTGCAGTCAGCCAGGAAGAATGTCCCATGCAGGCGGTTTCAGGGAGTACACTGTTTCTGCAATACTGGGAAACTTTCAAGTAGCCAGGTAGCATGTCCAAGTAGCACGTCCTCCCATCCAGCCTAACCGAAACTTTTTGTTAACTGAAGACCTCTTTGTTAACTGACCCACCCCTGGTCTGGTGTAACTACGATGATCTGATGTAACTATGGTTACTGGCTTTACCCCTGGCATGGTGTAACTGTAGTTTTAAGCTTTATGAACCCTGCCCCACTTCTCCTTGGGGTTGAGAGTTCTTTTGGGCATTAGCCACTGGCTATTAATAAAGGACTCCTGGGCCAGGCATGGTGGCACACGCCTTTAATCCCAGCACTAGGAAGGCAGAGGCAGGTAGATCTCTGTGAGTTTAAGGCCAGCCTGGTCCACATAGTGAGTTCCAGGGGCTACAGGAAGACCCTGTCTCAAAAAAAAAAAAAAAAAAAAAAAGACCAAACAAGCTTGGAGCGTCACCTTGAATAACCCTGAGGCTCGGTACAGTGAGGTCAAGGCTAAGGCGGAACATTAGAGTGTACCCATATGGACAGTTTATGGGCCAAGGAAAATCAACTTACTGATCCCAGGCAATTAAGGAAATTCACACCAGTCACCAGCCGACCACTCAAAACTGGTGAAGAATTCAGAGGTCACACACAATGAATACAGATGCACAGAGGTGCTACAGGAAGTTACTGCACAAGCACACAGCAGTAGCAGCACACCCGGGGTCTGGCTTCCAGACCACCACATTGTATACTCCATGTACAACTTTCAAAAAGAATTATAAGACATGCAGAGAATCAAGCCTTGGTCCACACAGAAAGTCAGTTCCTGAGGAAGCCTGGGCTTGGACAAAGTTACTAAGGTAGATTCTATTATCTGATTTGAATATAATCAAAGGGGCCAGCAAGATCACTCAGCCAGTAAAGACTTTTGCCTCCTCGCCTGGCAACCTGAGTTCAAACCACAGGAGCCCAAAGGTAGAAGGAAAAAGCTGATTCCCACAAGTTTTCCTCTGACCTCCACATGCACAGTCTGACATGTACACCCACACATGTGCGCGTGCACATACACAAATACACTGAATTAAATAAATGTAATAATAAAAGCCATTTAAAATACATTCAGAGTTGGAGAGATGGATCAGCAGTTAAGAGCACTGGCTGCTCTTCCAGAGGACCTGGGTTTCAACTCCAGCACCCACATGGCAGCTAACAACCATCAGTAACTTCAGTTCCAGGAGATCTCATGCCCTCCTCTGACCTCCGTGGGCATTGCATGACATTGGGGCACTTACATACATGCAGGCATAACACTCATACACATAAAATAAAAACAATAAGTAAGCCAGGCATGGTGGCTCACACCTTTAATCCCAGCACTTGGGAGGCAGAGGCA